CAAGATGCGGATGCAGACATGGACGGTGGTGCCCGGGATTACGACTATCTCCTTTCGGTAGGTCATGTGCAAGGACTAAGTCAACAGTTAAAGCTAACCGACTCCAGATGCCCATTTGGTCTCTCACGGCTGAGCGCCTCGAGAAGCTCAAGGCGGCTATCGAGAAGAAGAAGGCCGAGCATGACGACCTTCTTGCCCTAAGCGAGAAGGATCTCTGGTGCAGAGACCTTGACGAATTCTCAGCCGAATGGGATAATCAGCTTGCGCTCGATGCCGAACTCAAGACTAACATTCGCCGCATGGGTCGCCGCGTCTCCAAGAAGATCGGAGCTGGCCCCGCCGGTCGTGGGCGAAAGGCCAAGGATGATGATGACTACGATCCCGGCAAGAAGAGTCGTGGAAGACCAAAGGCGGCGGCGGCCAAGGCGGCCCCAGTCAAGGTTGAGACGAAGAGTGCTCAACGGTTTGCCGAGATGTTCAGCGCAAAGCCAAAGGTCAAGAAGGAAGCAAGCGCCGACCCTATGGAGGTTGATGACAACTTCTCTGATGATGACTATGCGGCTCTCAGCCGGAGCAAGCCAGCAGCCAAGGCTGGCCCATCATCGCCCGAGGCGCCGGACACCGGACGCGTCAAACGAGTCGCCGCATCTAGGGCCAAGGTGATCATTGACGACGATTCTGAGAGTGACGACGACCAGATGCTTGGCGATGTCGGTGCTCTGGTCAAGGGCATCGGCAAGTCAGCTGTGGACTCGGACAGAGGCAGGTTTAGTCTGCATGCCATGAGCCGGCCAGACTCCAGCCAGGGCAATAGCAGCATCACGGGGCTCTCCAAGCCAAAGGTCAGATCAGCTAAGGCGTTCGACTTTGACGATGACAGCCCGGATGATACAAACTACGAGATGCTTGCCAAATCCTCACCACACAAGACGGCAACGGCAACGGCAACGGCAGCCAAGGAGGATCATATCGACAGCTTCCTGTCAGATGATGAACCCATTGCTGGACCATCCAAGACATCGGCAGCATCTCGACCAAGGGCGGCCAGCCCTGAGGAATCTGCGTTGCCCGCAGGCCTGTCTTTGGTGAAGAAGGGACGTGGCCGGCCTGCTGGTTCAAAGAACAAGGGCAAGGACGACACGAAGCCCAAGGCTACCGCCAAGACTGCTACCAAGGCTGGTGCTAAGACTGCCACCAAGACGGCTGCCAAGGCTGTATCCAAGACAGCTACGAAGCAGACGACCTTGTCTCCAGCGGCTAAGGCCTACGCTGCCAAGAAGGCAGTCAAGAAGTCGGTCCTGGATGACGACTCTGACGAGGAGATGGAGGAGGCCGACTCGCCTCCCGTCAAGGCGTCGAGAGGACGCCCCGGCCGGGCCGCAGCTTCGAGACGGCCTGTTGTAATTGACGATGATTCCTCAGCCTTGCAACCGGATGAAGAGAGTGATGATCCTTTCGAGGTGGATGACGACGAGGACTAGACTCGTCTACTGAACATGAGTTGGTGGAAGGGAAGCACATGAAGAGTACTTGTTCTTTTCGAGAACCGTTGTTTCTGGTTCATTGTTTGCTTGTGTTATTCGATTATGAAGCCTTGAGTGGCCACAGAACACCAAGGCATGGGTCATGATGGGTGTGGAGTGAAGGATGGATGCATCCAATCTGAGGATTGTGATTTGGCGGCGTCGAGGACGATGATCATTTATTTACTTTTCTTTTGGGGTTGATATCCGAATATGAGCACATACCAACACTTGCTACTGATAAATAATTTGGTATTTCGTAGCTTGCATGACTCTTGGATTCCAACAGTAACTGTGAAGCTATACAGGACCCTGTAGAGCTTCGTGCTTGCCAATGCTACCCTAGGTGCCAAGACCTTATCGATAAGAGCTAGCTTCCCCTCCAACGCGGGGCTTTCCCTGCAGGGTCCAAAGGTGGAATTTGTCAACCTCCATCATTCCTCGTCTTGCACTCTCTCTTTACTCGCCACTCTCCGTCTCACATTGTCTCTCACTTCATAATCCTCGGAAAATGGCTTCATCAGACGAGCCGCAGTCCCTCCGGTCGCTCTACGAAGCTGCCGAAGAAAAGCGTCATGCTTTGGACAACGCCTTTGAGGCGACCTCGCCCGCCTACCGCGCCGATCTCGAAGCAGCCCTCTCCCTCTATGCAAAGGCTCGCGATCGAATGGCTGCCGTCTCTCTCTTCTCTGCCAACGAAGGAGTAGAAGATATCTCGACCACCGATCTACCATACCTACTACTCGATGCTCACGTCGCCGAGCTCGTGCAAAAGACACCCAACCTTAGCCCCGATCAGCGACAAGGCGTCCTCTCCGAGTCGCGCTCTGCCTACGAACGCTTTCTCGCTGCCTTGGACAGCTATGGTCTTGTGGGAAACCCATACGATAAGCTACTGGAGCGATACCGTGACGACCCAGACACCTTCGCTGTAGTGGCGAGCAACGACCCCGCAGCCCGGAGAGACGGCAAGATCGCAAACTACCGCGCCGAGAAGCAGCTGAAGGAGAAACTTGAGACATTGCGGCGCAACCCGCGATACCTGGAACACGGCGACGAGGAGATCGTCCGTGAACTGTATCTCACACAACTTACCTCGACCGTGCACGCGACCTTCCAGGCCCTCGATTCACTGAACCGCGAGGTGGCAATTCTCGCCCAGGCGCCCCGCCCACTCGCCCCCTCGGCCGTCGACACACCGTCCGCTGACGATCACACGTCCCGACTTGACCAACCCTTACGGAGGCTACAATCCATAACGGGCGGCCCCCTGCTCTCAGCGCAGGGTAAGCCCCTACAGCCTTTTACCCTAGTGGGCTCCCGGGATGAGCGGGCGAGGGGTGTGTTCCGGTCAGGCCATAACCTGCCGACCATGTCCATCGACGAATATCTCGAGGAGGAGAGGCGGCAAGGCAATATCCTGCAGGGTGGTGTTGAGAAGAAGACGGTAGTGGACGAGGACGACATGGAGGCCGTGGACCGGGAGACGTACAAGCAGCGCGAGTGGGACGAGTTTGTCGACCACAATCCCAAGGGAGCTGGAAATACCCTCAACAGGGGCTAATCAAGGTCGAGGTTGCAACTTGAAAAGGCGTGTGAAAATAATGTATGGACACAACAACATTGGCGTTTCTTGGGGTGGGCTGTGACAAGGTGGAGGATTTGTATAGAGCTGGCAAAGAAAATAGGCATATATCATTTGGCAATGAGATCACGAACAATACAATCAGACATGGCTGGGAAACCCTTTCATTATCATTATGACGAGACCAAACTGGCAGTAAAAACAGGGGCTAGGGGGCTGGTGACTTTGAAGCAGCCGAGCCTTTCTTTTCTTCTTCTTCTTGTTCTTCTGCTGTTGCTCCCATGACCGATTCCGATTCAGAATCCGATGCTTCAATCGCTATAGCTGCTTCTGCTGCTGCCAATACCGATTCCAATGCTTCTGTTGTTGTTGCTGTTGTTGCTGCTGCACTAGGTGGCACCTTGTTAGCTATAATGTTAGAATGAAGGGAAGGATGTATACTTACATTTGCAGCTAGCAAAGGAGAAAAAATGCGTTTCGCTTTGATAATATTGAGTCAAAGTAATAGATGAGAGTGTGTTTTATCTCGGCAGTGGCTCGAAGGAAGAGTGTTGTGCTCGTGATGGTTCAGGGGAAGGAAGAGGAAAGGACTGGAGAGGGCCTCGTCGACACTATTTCACGTGATCTTCTATCAACCCGAACAGGGAAGGAAGGGGGCCCGTAGTGCCTTGGATATCTCAATAGAGCTGTTCTCTTGTAAAACAGCCCGATGACCCAAAGCCCTCGTGGTGCAGGTAGTGGCAGCATGCTAGAGAAGCATCAAGCGTTCTCCTGACATTACACGAGAGTGCTTGATGCTTCAGCAGCAATGCGAAGAGAGCCCAACTTGAATTCTTGACGGGTGCGTTACTCTTTTGTCTTGTTGTACTTGATAGCTTCTGCTGGACTTATTTGTTGTATATATATCCTAATGTTTAGGTTCTCTCTTGACTAGGGTCTCAAGACGATTTCATAAGCAAGTTGCAACCTTGACAAAGCCTCAACATAATTAAATGAAGCCATTTTATCAAGCATTTTATCTTATTGGCATTTACTAAGCCCCCTTGATTCATGCCTTGGGGTTACTACTCTCCTGAAGGCATCTGACGTTGAAAGTGGATATGAGGCTCAGACAACCCTCGAAGTTGGCATGTGGGGTAGTGGGATGGTATTCAGCCCTACGAGCCAAACGCTCTGCCGGCCTTTACTGATGAAGCCAGATGGATGTTGAAATTAATGGTGGTAGACGGGCAGTATTGAGGTGTCACCGATCAAGGGTGGTTCTCAAGGAGAAATCTATGCATGTTCAGATGAGTCTTGTGGTCATGTCCCAATCTCTCTGGAGCTTCAGCCCGGTGCAGGAGGTCGTCGGGAATATAAGAGGGGTTTGAATCATCACCGACATTGATCTTGGGAATCTTACTAGAAGCTTTATAATGAGGGAGGCTGAGTGACGTACTCACGGGTAGTAGGCTATGATGGCATTCTGAGCTGTAAGGTGATCGCCTAGTGCTGCACAAGCTTGGATAGAACCATCATTCACTCGTGATGTGCCTCGGCGATTTTTCTTACGATATCATTTGCTGCAAATCCTGCTACTTCTTTAGTTGAACATAGTTTGAGAAGCCATCAGGTTGGATCTTGTATTCGCCAACATCTAGAAAGAGCTGGTTTCGTCGTCAATCATACTTCGCCTCATCGACTCATGCAACAACAGCAACCTCGGCAGATATAGGAGCATGATAAGTATGAGATCAATGTGCTCGACAAAACAATATTTTTCACTGTGTCAGCTAAATGCCATGTATCTAATTCCATGTAAGTGCGTCAAATGTCATGTCCAGTCATTTTGTATAGTAGTCATCCTGCCAGTGTTCACATCCAAGTGTATCTTGCTCCCATCAAATCATTACTGTATCCCCACTGTCATCACTGTCACTGTCCCAGCAACACATGTCGTCGTCGCTGTCGTCATCATCACTCGATTGCCGACCTTCAGTCATAGATCGTGTATCCGAGTCGGCCGCCTCGACTGTCAAATTTACAGCCTGTCCAATGCTTTGGTGGTCGGCAGGGATCTCGAATCTAGCATCTTCGTAATCGTCTGATCTCCCTGCGGTGAATGACTCTGAGGCAATAGACTGATCGTCGGAGATGACCCTATCCGGATGGTACACGGTCGAGATGCTGTCGTGAACGTCGATGGAAGCCCCGGTGGTGCTCCCCCACATACGTAGCGCGTTCATGTCCTCCGTGATAAACTCCGTCACGCTTGGTGGCGCCGATGGGATAGTTCTGCCTGTGTGGTATCCTGGGCCAGGTCCGTTGGCTCCCCAAGATGTTGGCGGGAGCAGATCTTGGAATACTCCTCCACTGCCGTCGTCACAGCCTCCCGCCCATAGAGGCAAGTACTTCATCTCATTATTGGTGAGTGTCAGGAGGAGGTGACGGGTCAGGTTCAGCGGCGGTTCAATGTCGTGACGCAGCCAGGAGAGCGTCATCGGTCGAAGGGCATCCTTGACCCCCCGCTCAATGCAGTCCAACCACACCGTGGAATCTTCACCCAACCACTTGCGGATATACGATTCCAACCCGGCAGTTTTCACATGTGCTGGTGCACATATAAGGACGTCCCTTAAAGATCGAAATGCTTCGCTCGTGAGCGTACGGTAAGTTGTCTGCAAATAGCCAACTAGTTGACACTTGCAGTCACGATACCTTCGGTCATCCAAAATAGTACCGAAATCGTTGTAGGTGATGGAGCAGAGAAGCAGCTGAACTCGGTTAAAGGTGGACATGATGACGCTCGTTTTTTCGAAATGCCTAGGCTCCACATACAAGAGCCGGTCTTGGTCAATACTGATCAGCGCTGGGTGATTGTAACTCTGAGATTTGCTTGTGGCAGTCTCATAAGCGCTCCGAACTTCGTAAACGAGAGCGTCCTTTAGAAGTTGGACTGAATGCAGAGCCTTTTCATAGATAGGGCCCTTTCCATTCACGAGGCATTGCTCGATCTCTTGCATCTTGTTCCACTCTTCAATGTCCCAGAAGTCAAAGATATCCGGGTTTCGGAGCTGGGCGTCAATGTTTGACACACGTTCCACAAGTGCCATGGCTCCATGTTGGACCAGGTTTTGCAAGTCGTCGGGCAAATCACCCAGCCTTCTTCCAAAGATGGTGAACTGAGTAGCGGGTCCCTTAGAGGTAGAGGCCAACTTCAGAGCGGCCTCATTCACAAGGATCCTGAAGGCCGATTGCCCGACCTCTGGCAACTCCAGGGCAAAGGCTATCTGAAGGGCTTCCTCGGGTAAGTGCTCGATCAGCGCCGTATTGGGCCCATGCATGATCCATTGGGCAACACGATCCCGGAGAACATGAGCACAGTCAAAGATGGTGCCCAGCTTCACAAGGGTCCATACCCTTATAGCGGAATCGAGGATGACTCCTTTCCCTTCTAGTAGGAGTAACAGCCGCAGTATTCCATTCCGATGCCGAATAGGACAGTAGTCGGGGACTTTTCGAAAAGACGGTGTTTTGTAGACTTCATCTTCTCCCCTTGCTTTCATACCAAGTGCGGCATCTGCGTTGAGGGGAAGCCTGGGTAACGTTTTCTTCTCCTTAGAACTAGCCGTGGCATCTTGTTGTACTTCGGCTGATGAGCCCTCTCCCATTGATTCATCTTCCTTAGTCTCTTCCTCCTTTTGTCTCTTGCACCCGCAAATATCATCGTGACCACAAACAAGCCATGGATCGACTTCGTTCGTCAAGTGGGTGCTCCACCACTTGATGATGCCAGGTGTCAATGATAGCTCAGTCATCTGAAAGACCAGCTCATCGCCTTCCGAAGGTGGAGTCAGATCCAACACATATTTGACGCCGTCGGCGAGCTTGTTGACGAGCTTGAGTCGCCTGAGAACGCGGAATTGATAGGTAGGCGCAAGCATCTCGGCAAATTTGCCTACCAGATTGGCCGAGTTGACGCGGAACTGGAGGGGTTTGAATGTAATGCCATTGCAATCGGTATAGCTGAGAGCTGCCTTTTGGTGAATAGGGTAGTCAATAAAGACAAGGGTGTCGCCCTTGTTGAGCTCAAAAGCGATCGAGTGAAGACGATAGAGCTCAAAGTTCCGCGTCTCTTCAATCTGACTCTTTCTCATGAGCGAGGGGAGCATCTTGTCCGTCGTGGTAGGCTTGTTAAAGTGACTGGTGGTCCATTTGGAGAGGGAGGGGGGCTTGGGTGACAACAGGTCGTCAAGGGTGAGTAGTCGGTTGATATCATTGTCTTGAGAATTGGCGGTAGTGGCGGCGGTGGCTGCAGCTGTGGTGGTGGAGGTTGCGGTTATGGGAGCAAGTGTCAGAGGCATCTCATCAGCCTCATCTTCAAGAAGCTGGGCCATTTCGGCCTCTATCGAGGCTGACCAGTCATCGGGGAAATCCATGACAGTCAAGCAAGCGTGGTCGTGTTGACCTCCCAAGTGATCGATGTCGATGCGAGGAGTGTCGAGGGCGGTAGAGATGATGGAACAAAGACAATTTAGAGGAGAGGGCATGGAACGGTGATGAGGGTGAATACAAGAAGGCAGCGAAATTCACATTCAAATGCAGGCTGCAGCGATTTAATCAGGGCGGATGCCGAGGCGAGACAAGGCAGACGGACAACTAGGAATGGAGGAGGGCTGTGTAACAAGGCAGTGCCACTGTTGGTGCTGTTGAAGCGACAAATGTAAAGACGAGGCGTTGATACTAAATATCAATAATAATGTCGAGAGATTGGAAAAAAAGATGAAATGAAAGAGATGGGCTGACTCGATAAGAATTGGTGATCAGCCCTATGAGTAACACCCCCCAGAACATGGATCTCATGCCATGGATGTTGATGCCTGAACTCGAGCTTGAAAGTGGGATGGTTGCCTAGGTAGGTTGAGGCTGTCATGTCAGCCTGCATAACTTCGGCAGGTGCTACGTACAAGGCAACATCAGCCGCCCTCGTGTAAACGTAAACGGGACCAACAAGAGGTGGAATTAGGAATGGTGATGGCATTTCCGGGTACTAGACCCGTTCAGTTGCGCAGTTGGCATTGCGTGGATGGATAGGCAGACAAGCAATTGGCTTGAGCCTCTAGCCATCGCCGTTGGGACAGTAGACATGGACTCGGTAACGTAACTGTCATGATCTGCTGACACCAAAGTTAATCCAGTACGCATTCTGATACACTTCTATGTACGTGTTGGGTGCCTTGAGAGTTGGCAGCTCAGGTCATACAACCTCAAGCAAAGACCGTTGGAGACTTGCCAAATACTGTACCAACACCTTCTACATGAGTATTATTCCTAAAAACACATACTCTATCAATCAGTTCATTCAATATCCACCATCACCATCAACCCTCTGCATGTGCCGAGTTTCATGCTCCCTTCCCCCGCAAAACCCAAAGACCCCCCGCCATCAATGCCCCACCTCCTCCACCATCAACCTTCACCTCCAGGTTCATGATAGACAGCTCTCATGACTATCGATACCACATCCATTGACACCACCAATCCAAAACGATCCCCATAAAACCCCTTCTGGGCCACAATGTCTCACTGCCATATGTAACAAAAACGCCTCCTCTTGGCTTCGTACTCCCAACAAAAAGCAAACTACCCCTCCATCTCAATCGCCACCCACACACCCCAGACCTTCCCACCTGAGCTCCCTTAGCTTCTTTAGCTTCCCCCGGGAACGCCATGGCCAAGACGGGTTCGGGTAGAGGGCATCTTCCCCGATAGGCAAGGGGTTTCGTAATGAGCTTTCCGAACGACTTGTGCCGAGCTCAAGCTATGCCGGTCTATAAACCCCAATCCATCCCTACTCCCACCCGGGAGAGCTTCTTCTCTCACCAACGTGACCGGGCTCTACCTTGATCATGGAAACCACAAAAGCAGCCATCACTTCCATCTCTACTCGACCCTTCTTGTAAGTTACACGCCTTCCTTTCCATCTCGTCTAACACGCGAATCTAGGCGTGGTAAAGCCGTTATTGTCCTCGCCGCTGCCGCTGCCGCTGCTGCCACCGCCGTTGCCTTCAAGTATCAAGCTGCCTCTCTCAACCAAAACGACATCGAGCAACGAACCCGCAAAGCACCCCATGGTTATGTCTCGGTCGACCGCAGCGGTGGTGGCATATAATCCTCGACACTTCCCTCCCTCCAAGGTCGACTAGAGGCTCTACTCCAACCTCGGCAAAGCACAGCCGTTCACTTGAGCTGGAAACGCCAACAACACAAACATGAAGACGGTAGCGGTGAACCCGGCACATTCGAGACTTGATCTTTGACGGCAATAATCTTGCCGTCAGAACTACAATCCATTCAGAGGGTGCAATTTCAGCATTAGAAACTGGTTCCCTTGTCCCAAGACTGCTATTTTACAATAAGTGGAAGAGCTTCTGGTGAGAATGCCCAGAAGACAACCTGATGGTATCGACATCCCAACATGGAAACGTCCGTATCAATGATGCATCTGAACAGCGTTCGGTATATACACAATTAACCCCTACGATTATTCCGCCCCGTCCTATATATTGATCCTTGTATCGCCCCAAACCTGGCATCCTCTCAGCCATGAAACACGATCCCACAACGCCATATATGCTCCCCATGATGTTCCTTTTACAGTGAGCCGCCCTTCTGAAAGAGACTGTCGTCCGTCTCCGCTTCGTCGTCAGACTCGTATGCCACCTCCTTCCCCTTGGCCTTGTGATCCCACATGCCTGTCTCCTTCATACTTCTCCGACTGGCAGGACGCTTAGACGCTGCCACCTTTCGGTTTCCGCTCTCATGCTTGTACTTCCGTAGTCGGTCCCGTCCGGCAACCTCAATCAACGGGGCCATTCTGGCCTCGTCACCCGAAGAGTTACGCCGAGTCGTAGGGGCCGTGGATGAGTTCTTCAGGTCCCGCATCTCCTTGATAATATCTGCAAAGCTTTCCTCCAGTGTCTTCATCCGAGCCAGCACCAGTCTTCCCATCCTATCGCGATCCCCTGTATCACCTCCGGCCGCCCGCAGCCGGTTGTCCTTCATCATTGCCATTGCCATCTGCGTCTGGAAGCTTCCCGGCATGGCTCCAATGGGATCGCCTGCACCCAGGTGGTCCGACATCGCGCTCAAATCTAACGACGAGAGTCTCCTGATATCCTTTGGACGGTTTCGCGGCTCGATACTTAGCAGGGCAGACCGACTAACACCTCCCGCTTCCGTCATACCCCGCGGCGGCATTACTGGCCGAGGCTTTGTATTCGCCACGTACAAAGAGCGACGGGGTGAGCTGCGTCGTGGCGTCTTTTCTCCAGCGGTTGTGCGTCCACTCGTTCTTGGGCGAGACTGTGCTCCGTGGGGAGGTGACACTGGCGAAGCGCCCTGAATCTGTTTGATATCTTGTGGGTTGAACAGTATCGTGTTGGTCGACAGTGTCCGGTTATGACCAGCTCTTTTTGCTCGGGGAGTTGGAGCACCCTTGCCCGATGAGCCTACGGACGAGGCGAGTTTTCCAAAGTTGCCAGGCATTGGCGTGAAGTATCCATCCTCTGGTTCCTCATCAATCCGATGGCTGCTGGCTGCTCGACTCCGCCCAGCATTCGTGCCATGATCGTCTTCGTCCTCGTCATTTGTGACCAGCTCATCATCGCCATCCGCATCCGTCTGGTCCTTGTATTCGGACATCTCAGCAGTCAACCGAGTCCTCGAGAAATGAGAGGGTCGGAGGGGGTGGCCTGCATTTGACATTCGATCAGCGGGATCACTCGCCGTTGATCTAACATCAGAGACACGTCTCAGATTTGTTGCGCGATCAAAGCCCACACTCATCCTCCTTTGCCAAGGAGGCATGGCACTATCCATTGCTGGCCAGTTGCCTGGCGAAGTGCCAGTGTCGTCATGCTGATCCATCCAATTACGGATGGCCGTCTGTGTCTTGCGCCTTTCGTTCCGCCTCTGTGTTCTGAGCGTGAGGGGATCGGGCACTCGCAAGAACACCTCTTCGAGAGCTCGATCTTTCTGGAAACCAGCAACCGACTCCTCACGAACCCTTACACTGGGGCTGAAAATGGCTGCCCTACTCGTTGGGTCCATGAAAGAAATAGCTCGGCCTCGGTCACGGGTTGGGTGTTCCACCAGATCAGTCGGCTCGTACATGGACGGCGCCAGCCAGTATCTCTCGTACAGATAGATACAGAAGAGCACTGGAAAGTGTGTGGCCTTGATCACGATCCGATTCAGCCAGACAAACAGCCTCAGCGGCATGAAATACCGCAGGGGCATTAGCAGCCAAGCAAAGATGTTGCTGGGGGCAATGTATGAGAACAATGCGTCGTTCTTGACCATGGAGATAGTGTTGATGGCAAAGAGGAACTGATGTTCTTCATTGGCATTGGACGACACTGCCATGAACGAGTTTGTCAAGACGGTAATCAAGATTGTCCTGGATGGGTAGTTAGCAAGGGAAACGCGCATATGGAATAGTAGACTTACACAACCAGGAAATGGGTGATGCTGAGGAATAGGACCAAAAGGCCTCTCCCCAGCCAGTTGTACGCATCCCACACCTCCCACGCCGCTGGTGTAAATCCCATAAGAATCTGAAAGATCTTATAGGCAACGTCACTGGCGCCAAACGAGTTCTTGGATAGCGTGAAAAAGAAGAAGAAGCCGCTGCAGAGGATCAGGATCAGGATGAAAACAGCAGCGAGATCGACGGCCATCAACCGAAAGGCGATGAGGAGTTGCGAAAAGTACTGGTAGTGGTCCAAGATGCTGAAGATGCGCGGGAGAAGGAGGATCGCGTTGGCTGCAAGAACATCGTAGGCCATGTCGTTCCAATGGTGGGGATCTACCAGGAAAACACCGTATGCTCGCATGCAGTAGTAGACGATAAGCAGCAGAAGGATGCCTAGGTCAAAGATGTTCCAGAAACTCATGATGTAGAGGGCGAATCCCTGCTCGTTGAAACCAACGAGCTCATCCAGCATAAATCCTGCGCTCCAAAACCAAAAGACCAATTCGAGACCGGTGATCTGGACTGAACGTTCCGTGAGAACGGCAAGGAAGAGGCAAATCAACACCGCAAGAGATATCGTAGAGAGAAACGATCTATAGCGAGGAACTCGGAGTCGAGAAAGCTTGAAAAGAGACGCCTGTCGAGGGTCGTAGAGGATGGCCGTACGTCGCCCTGGTGGAACATAGTGCGAATCTTTAGATTGATGTCCCAGCAGAGGCGTCCTATCATCCACCTTGCCAATGTGCCCATTTCCATTGCGACCTGCGTCCTGTGGTGGTTCACGATGTAGGCTGTCGGCGGACGAGTGAAAGGTGATGGCGCCGCTCCAGATAGCCTCCAATTGCTGGACGACAAGAGGATGGGCGAGGAAATGCTTGGCCGAGGCTCGGATCGCAACCTCGAGTGTTGATGTTCGGGACGCAATCAGGGGTGGCTTGGGTGAGGTTGGTGTCCGACGAGGTGAGTTTGGTACCCCAGCTCCAGGCAAGCCTTGCAGGGGATAAAAGTCGTAGGCCAACGCATCGATGAGTTCCCGAGTGTTGTACTCTTTGAGTAGCTTCAAGGCTAGCAGTTCGCAAACCTTGGCGCGAGTACCACTGATTCCTGCATTGCCTGGATATCGTTCGCCCTCCTTGTTAAACTGGAGGCAGTTTGCCATGAGGGCATATAGAGTTGCGCGGGTGAAGTGCTGTGTTCGGATTTGCTGCTGCATAGGTTTCACAAGAAACTGAGAAACCTGAGGGGATCGGAGTTGATCCCAAGAAAGGGTCGTCTCGGTACGGGCACTAACAACCACTCGAATAGCATGAGTTATGCTGTATATAGGAAGTGAATCTGTACAACAGTCAGAATACTAGTCAAAATCACTACTCTTGCTCCAAGTTCAGGGTACGCACCCAGATGGCTGGCAGAAAACAAAGGTAGAACAGGCAGGCCACCCCGTCTTCTACCATCTTCATCCTGTCCATCGTCTTGGTCGTCTTCTTCGTCACCATCATCGTCAACATGTCGATCGTTACTGTGGAACCGGGCCATGCCCTCGTCGTGGGATTCATCGGCGTCGTCATCATCGGCTTCTGTGAAATCGGCTGTGGCATGTCGTTCGAGAGTGTAGCGCCTACGAGCAGGACCGGGCGAGGGAGAAGGACTCGAGTTGCGGCGACGGTCGACTCGACGGGGGCCAGCCCTAGGGCGACGCAACAGCGAAGAGAACATTGGATCCAATGTTGATGTTTGCGAGTTGGGGAGGAGTCGCAGTCGCAGTCGCCCGTATGGTGCAAGCTTGGCGCCTTGCTCGATATCGTCTCAACGCGCCATGGAGGGGGATGGCGTTGACGGGGGTTGATGAAAGGAACGGAAGCGAGAGAACGGGATCTCCGCGACGGGTGTGGGGAATTAGTTGGGGAATAAGACAATAGACACGGAACTTGAAGAAAAGGGAAAGGAAAGAAAAAAGGAAAAACAAAAGAACCCAGGCGAAGGAGGTCGTCGGCGTCGAGGCTCGAGGCTGGAGGAAGGCGAGCGACGGAGCGGGATGGGAAGGTCAGACGGGGTCCATCCAACACAACCACAACACAACACAACCTCCATCCCGTCCACCATCCATCCACCTCAAAACTTGCCCGTCCAGGCCAGGCCCGGGGCGCTGTCGCGCACAAGATGGACGCTAGCGAGAGCACCCAGTATCACGACGGGCCCCCTGGACGAGCTAATGGTTTAGCGGCTCTAGGGCCAGGAGTGGTGGGCAGGGTTCTATCTGGCTGATGACGGGGGGTTCCACCGAACGAACGGTCGACTTCCATTGCCTTGAAAATCAAGGAAGTTCAATGACTTGGAGGCTTTTTTTCTGTCTATTTTTCTTGATACAAGTGAGCTAATGCAAGACAGATCTGATGGTGATGCTATTTAGACCGCCTGTAGCGCCAACTACTTCACCACCGGAAGTTTTCACCTTCACCAAGCAAGCAAACCACCCCATGATGAATGGATCGCAGGGCAAACGCAAGTCAGACCGGCCGAGCAGACGGAAACCAGGTGGAGCATCAAATTAGCCATGTCCCTGCTAAGACATTTCGTCCATTTGCGGGACTGCTGGAGTCGAGGCGCCTCAAGTAACGAACGTCGGGCTTTGTTTGGACCAACCATGACTCGCTGTTGGCAGTCATGGGAGAGGTCGAGTGTGGATTATCGTCACTTGGTGCACCGAGTTTGTCTCTTGCAGAGTCTGTATAGAATTGATGCAGAGATGAAGTGTTGTTCGGCACTGATGTTCAGGCTGTCCAAGGATCGGGAGGTGGTTGAAAACTGGCCACTATTCTCACCTCACGTCACATTACACAGCATGATCAAAAAAGATTCTGGCAATCATGCTGCTCGCACCCTACTCGTCCAACGTCGCAAGAAGCAACAACCTGGAAATAGTTGATCCACTCACAATCCATCCAACACCACTCGCGCCTAGACAAAACAGACCAGATGCGACGCCTTACTCTCTCTCACTCCAGCTGGAGCCCTGGTCGCAGCATCCATGTCCCACACTTGGTCTGTAAAACCAAGGCAGATCCCATGATCTAGAGGGCATCGAAATCACCGATCCATCAACACCATCTTCCTCTTTCAGGCATGCATAAGACAATTCCTGATTCTCGTCCTCCTTAGTGAACCCCCCTTTCTTGACAAATTGTCCGTGTGCGACGAGTACACCAAGCACAAGCCAACGGCAATTCGAAAGAGCAATGAGCAAATCCACCAGATGATGGCCCGTCATCTTGGGTACAAATCCTCATCTCGATGAATTGCCGATCTACACTAACACCTCCAGACTATTACGAGCACAGACAATCTCATTCGCCAGAGATGGCCTCGCTCCGCTATCGCTACCTTATCTCGCCCATCCTTTTTTCCCAAAGTGCCGCGTATCTCGTCAGAATAACCCCCCCGGTTCGTAGTCGAATCACCGTCACGACACACATACTGTAGCCTCCCAATGCATCTCGCCCTGCAGAAGCCAACCCCGGCTTTTGCTCGACTTCCCCCGGGTCGCTGTGTTTGGTGAAGGGACCTCCAATGGGCATCTCCAGGCTGGCATGTGGCAGCCCACCCCGTTGCAGGCGACGGTCACTGCAGGCAGTATGCGTCCTGCGGCGTTCCAAGCAGAGGTGTCATGCGTCCATCCGGCATCTTCAGGGCAACTCAGTCCCATCGTGGAGAGATCCCCCCTCGGCCGAGCCCTTCACCGCATCGTGAGACAGGTGGATGGTTGCGGAGGAGGCCGTTGATGCGAGCACTGGAATTCCCCATCGCCTCAGCTGATCATGTCATCTCATCTTCCAATCTTGGGTCTTGTGTGCTTTTGTCCGGCATTCATGTCCAACCAAAGATAGTGTAGGTCGCCCCGCATGTAATTTTGAAGCTGTTGGAAGCCACACCGCCACAGTGCATTAGTTCATGGTTCAGCTCATGAACCTGAGGTTGATACGAGATCATGGATAGAACATGTTGGACCTGTTGGTAACAAACATTTCTCCCGGCTGTAGTTTCAAAATGGTGTAAATTGTAGAGTCCCTACATTGTGTCGTGCATTTATTTAAAGATGATGCGCAACTAGCATTCGGCAACTAACACAACACCAAGGGCGGTATCGGGCAACATAGGGTAGGTAGGTAGGTAGTGGAGGTACACCATCCATCACCATGTCTCCTTCAACTCCAGATAATGCGTTCATGGGCGTCTCGGTGACGGGAATCCGCTCCCTTCTACTTCTTCCTATCATCCGTCTCCCTTCTTTCGGCCATTTCGCAGCAGGCACTCCGATTTCGGCAATGTTGTGAAAAGTGGTGTGGCATCCATCACGGGAGCGCCGTAGCCGACGCAATGCAAACAATTCCTCGAGAGAGACCCTGATAACCTAGGTCTTAGCATAGGGATTAAGAACTAGCTAGAAGGCACTCAAAAACTCTAATTTTCCCAAGGGCATCTTACTAACCTATGATAACTGTTATAGTACACCTGAGGAGATACAGATGAGTATTTGCCAATGAGAGCCCTGGCAGCATCCATGTTGAATAAATGGATTGGTTGGCGTGTCAAGTATCTTGAAATACACAACATAGACACCAATAAGAGACCAAAGAGTACCCCAAGATGTCACAGCTAGAAGTTTCTCAATCATAATTTCTCCTGGCTATAAAAATCCAGCCTGAGCTTGGTAGATTATGTTACTTGGAAGTCCAGCTAATCACTGATACTGCGACCGCATGTAGCCAGCCGGATGTTGGGTTATCGTCCTCGTTGACACTGAAACAGAGCTAGGTCCGAACTTGAACATGCCGTGGAGGGATTTGGATGTTCAAGGCCATGATCAGCATACCGACAGAAACAGTGCAGCTTCCTGTGTTGTGCTATTTGGTGCGTTCCATGTGTCTCGGATGATGTTCAGCCCTAGCACCAAGGAACATGATGCAAACGCCCGAGTTTTAAAAACCGGTCTTCACATATCAGAATCTCCGAGCATGAAAACGGTGGAGTAATGCTGAACAAAGAACATGAATATGCATGATCTTGCAAATCCGGGGTTGAGACCCTGAGCGGGCTGTGAGACACTACGAGGTTGGAGAGACTAAAGCTCCATGCCAATGAGCGTCGCCCATGAGACTTCACATGGTCGTTTTAGGAAATTTTGGATGTTAGTTTGTACTTGCGGAAAAGATCAAACCCACGCTTTCATCTGAAAATGCGCCGTGTTCATGATTGTTCCTGTCTCCCTTTGAAATTCTTTGTTACTTATATCAATCAGGATTTCTACCTTCTTGCTAAGCTCATACTGGCCAATGCTCTCCATCAACTCACACGCCACAAGCTATTATTCCACAGCAGTAACAGGCTACCTATGGCCATGGACAACACTGGCATTTACGGAGGAGGAGCCTTGGGCACATTCACCTTTGGCTACGTATTTGCCTCTGCGATCGCCCTTCAGATCTTCTCCCAAGGATTCCCGCATGGCGAGATCCTTCGTTCACTCAACTGGCGCACTTGGGCTCGCACTACCAAGTCGAAGAGCAGTGGCAAGTCACCCCCAAGGATTGCCAGCCGCAGTGAACTCGTCAACATAGACTACGACGACTTCTTGGACGATGAACCCCTCGAACGTATGGTTCAGCACTTGTTTTCGCATTCCATTTGTCAACCGATTCAAAAGCTTCTCGTCGGCTACCTACGCGATCAGGCCGCAATAAAGCCCATTCGGCATTGCCACTCACTTGACTTGAGGGATTTCCCTTCGATGCTCCTCAGCAGTCTTCCTCTATTGGTTCCCCTCTGGATTTTCACTAGCTACTACTGGACTTCGCTCTTCGGGGTCATGATGTGGGAGCGCTTCGGCTCCGATGTTGTGCATGGACTACTTTCCCGGTCATTGGAATGCTTCCGATGGGGATGGGGATTTCTGGGAGGTTCATATCGGGTCATATTTCGCATCAACGGCGTTATGACAATGACGAAGGGGGCTCGGCGGGTGCCCCCATGGGCAGGCTACGACGACGGGCCTTTCGGTAGCGTTCTTTATGATGGCGTGAGCCCTTGAGCTTAGTTATGGGTAGATTTATGATGAATAAAGAATGAAATGATGTCAGAAAGTGCTTATTACGATGTGTATTCTGCCGTGATGTGATGTGTGATACTTTCCTCGCTTCCCCTTGACGACCAAGATCCTCGGTGATAGGCACAATATCCTTGAGAATATCATAAATCTGGATGTATTGAGACTGCAATATTAGTATCGCGGGGTAAAGTATGACTAAATCTCGCCAGAAATTACACATTGGCTCACAAGAGAGTAAGGGGCGTTTGTCGTGGCAACATGTTCAAAAGCTTGTGCCTGAGTTGCGGTTGGGATTTGACGAGAGTCGTCAGCAATGGCGACTCAGTTGCGACTATCTCGACCCATTCCAACGAAAGTAGAGGCGTCAATTAGCGAGTCAAGTCAGCAAAACTTAGAGAGTCCACGTGTATTCCACGATCCGCAGATGATTTTTTGACTTTAAAGACACAAAGACAGAGACGCATGGTAGGTTGCACCGGATGACAATGGCATGAATGGGTCCCGGAAACGTGCATAGAGAAAGCCACACCCGACGCCACAAAGACTCTGCCTGCAGGAGACGCATCATTACCCCTTGACCCAAGCGGCTCTGGCGAGAAAGGGTATTGGACAATCGAGGGGAGACGACATCTCCAACATTTGTCATGGACGAGACTTGGGGCCAAACTCAAGCATGAAGCTATTCAAGTGCTTCATTTTGCGAGCCAATGTCGCGGCCGGCAGTCCAACGAGGTCGATCGCCTTGACAACGATCCACCAGCGAGATCTATTGTCAATGGGTTGACGGCTAAGGTGAGCACATCGCGTGTGTATCCATCTGGAGGCTTGATGTTTTTCAGCGCCACACAAGCACAGAGACAGTTGCTCCCGTCAACGCTCCGAATTGGGACGATTCTGGGCTTCTGTGCCCAGCTACGGACGCACTGGATCTGTCCGGATCAGAGACATGGTGTTGCAAACGCATGGCCGCCTCCTGCCGGGCTGGAGATTAGGATGACAATGCAATGCGGACGGGGTCCCGATCCAACCAGCCCCGGCCTAGGCCCCGGACGCCGTGACCTCGAGACCGCAGCCCATGGAGAACTCGTCCATTGAGTGGCCCTGCGAGGCCCGGCCCTGGAGCGGATCGCCAAAGGCTGTTGGCCGCTGGAACGGCGGCAGAAATTAGCGGGTCGCTTAGGGGAGCTGTCACTGGCTGGTGGGTGGAGGTGCCCTGTCAGTGCACCCCCGGCCGCCTTAGGTTCAGTCCCAGGGCGCTCAGGGTCATGTCGACCACCTGCAGCCGCTCAGGGACGCCTTAGTCCTGCAGCCGCCCAGCCCAGGGTTCAGTGTGTCCGTCCGTGTCGGCTTCCCCTTGAACTTCTTGGAAGAAACTCGGAGTCGGGAGTCAGACAACAAGAGGATACCTACCCACAACCATTCTCCAGCCGTATCGACGTCTCGGCGACTCTCTCACCCTCTCTCTGCGTATCACGCTTCGCTTTGCCACTCTCGTCGGCGCCCATCGACCATCCTTCATCCGCTGTCCTTAAGGTTTCCCTTGGATTCCAATCGCGAAATCGCCCCAGGAGGAGCTTCAAGCTCGTCCCCCGTTTCAGCCTCTGGGACCACCCCTCGATGACCCAACCATACTTTAGGAGCCTTGTTCAGCAGGCTGGTCCTCTCTTGATCTTCAAACTCTGGGCCTGATCTTCGGCTTCGGTTCTACTCCCGTCGATACCCAGCACGCGACAGACGGCCTGGTATTCCCAAGCGTCGTTGTCCTGGCGAACCCCCGCCGCCGGCACTGGATTGTGTCTCGACGCTGCCCGTTCCAGTCCAGAGACTCAAGCTCTCCACCGTCGGCATGGATGTCGACGTCCCAAAGAGCGGACATGAGTCTCTCCCTTCAACCGCGCCTACCGAACGAACTTCCATGATGTCCCGAGACCCAGGACCTGAGACCCCCAAGATGGCTCACGATTCTATGGTTACGGTTCGCCTCTCAGAACCCGAGTCCATCGTACTAGATTCCCCCGTCACCACCCCAGAACTTGATACAAATCAATCGACGCCGACAAAGGTTCCAGCCTCTGACGAAGTCTCCGTTTGCGAAACCCCTGCGCCCAGCCTGAAGCGGGCCGACACGATCGAAGAAGTCGACGAAGAAGACGAAGAAGTCGAACAAGTCAAGACTCCGAGTACGGAAGAGGCAACAAACGCGGGAACCCCCCGTGAATCCTCACCAACCATGCCACCACCCATCCTTACAACCCGATCCTTGCGGGAGGAGCTTGCTGACGATGGTCACGTTTCGGATGATCAGGAAGAGGTGAACTGGGAGCAACTGGAGAAGACGGAAGATGAGCAGACCAAGGATGAAGAGACGGATAACGTGAGTTATTGCAGCACCTTGAACTTGAAAAGCAGAAACTGACCACCACAGTCGACGGCATTGTTGTTGGCCCGGCTTGAACAGGAGAATGCAAAGCTGGCTACGAACCCAAAGAGCGTCAAAGTCCAAGCCGTAGACCGCGCCACTGCGGAGCGCAGTGCGGTCAGCAAACCTCGCCCTCCCTCCATGGCCCAGCTTCGACAGATGGTCCAAGGACCGACGCCCCCTGCATTGCGGTACTCGATGCTCCCACCGCCTCCCATGACAGACCTCGAGTTCTACGCCGCCCTGGTCAAGGACTATCAGCAGACGGCCGCCCGGTTACCGACGCTCCTCTCAAATAAGATCCGCAAGGGCATCCCGCCGCCGCTGCGTGGGGTGGTGTGGCAGAGCATGTCCGGGGCCCGGGACGCCGCGTTGGAGGAACAGTATGATCGCTTCTGCGGTGAATCTAGTCCTTATGAGATTATCATTGGCAAGGACCTGGGCCGAAGTTTCCCAGGAGTAGACATGTTCCGCGACCCCGACGGCGATGGTCAGCGTATGCTTGGCCGCGTCCTCAAGTGCTTCAGTCTCTACGACACCAAGATTGGCTATTGCCAGGGGCTCGCCTTTCTGGTCGGCCCATTGCTGATGCACATGCCCGACAAGCAGGCCTTTTGTGTTCTGGTCCGGTAAGGAATCAGCCCCAATATCCCTCCCTTCCCTCCCGTGCCAAGCCGGCAATAACTGACAAACAATCCAAGCCTCATGGAGCGATATGACCTGAGGGCATGCTTCCTCCCTGATCTCTCTGGCCTCCACGTCCGCATCTACCAGTTCAAGGAGCTTCTGAGGCAGAGCCTGCCGGTGCTGTCGAATCACCTCGACGACCTCCAGGTGGACCCTGCCTATGTCTCTCAATGGTTTCTGAGCTTCTTCGCCGTGACCTGCCCCTTGCCGATGTTGTTCCGCATCTACGATGTTATCTTTGCCGAGGGCGCTTCAGAGACATTGATGAGAGTCGCGCTATCCCTAATGCGGAAGAACGAGGCGCGACTATTGGCTTGCACTGAGATGGAGGATGTGATGCAGCTTCTTCTGTCCCGTGGCCTTTGGGATTGCTACCACTACAACGCCGATGAGTTTGTCCAGGACTTTGTCGGTTTGACGAGCGTTGTGACAAGGGAAAACATGCAGCAGCTGGAGCAAAGCTACCGGGAATCCAAGACGGCCACCACCAACCCTGTTCGGGGATCCGAGATAACTACTGCAGCTAGCCGGTTTCTGGGTCGTATCTGGGCAACCTCCACAACCAGTCTGTCACCCAAGTCGACCAACCTGAGCCCAGGACACACGGCGCCCGCAAGGCCGCTAAGCATGCTGCGCCGCAGTGCCTCGAAGCAGAGTCTCGCATCAACACTAAACTCCATGGAGGCCAGCTCAGCAAGCGTCACCAGCTCGACGTCGACAGACGCCACCACTGTCTCGAGGGATTCTTCCAATACCGAGGATGGAGGCATTGTGCGCGAGTCGACTCCAGTTGGCACCAAGTCCATGATCGCCCATAAGAACCTTGACGAGCGTAACCTGCATGGCCAGATTGAGGACCTGTTGACGGCTCTGAGCGAGCTACAGCGCAACCATGCACTCCTGTCGAACCAGCTTCAGCGAGAGCGTGAGGAGCGACAAGAGGATCGTAAGGCGGTTCAGTCGCTTCTCAATGGCCTGAGGCGGAAGGCAAACCGTGACTCGTCGTCAACTGAGTCGAGCGGACCTCGGGTCACAGTCTCGTCGGCAGACAACAAGGAGCAAGATGCAGAAGACGAGACTGACGAGACAAAGGAGCCTAAGGAGCCCAAGACACCAGTATCTGATGAAAACGATCAGTCGAAAGAGGAGAAGGCCCAGGAAGACTCCCCTTCCACACAGGATCTGGAGAAGCTGCTTGACATGGTGGAGCGCCGGTTCCAGACTGAAGAGGAGAAGCGACGGTCCTCGATGCTCATATCGAAAGCGCAACTGCGTGAAGAGTTATCTCATGCCAAGGATCAGCTCGCTGGTGCCATGTCGCAATCGCAAGAGTACAGCCGTCAGATTCATGACCTGAACCAAGAGATGTCAACGATCAAGGAGCAACTCCGTGAGAGCCATGCCCATGTTAGAACTCTCCACCAAGACAAGCAAAGGCTAGAGAAGCAGATGCATGGCTTGAAGTCTCGAGTGTCGGCCAGCTCGGCACATGAGTCGAGTAGGGACCCAGAGGCGGACCGCAGCAGCAAGGCGAGTGGAGTTGGTCTGCGAGAATTCAAGCTTGGTCGCAGCAAATCGACACCATCGCAGTCCGAATCCGAATCCGCGCCGACAAGCAAGTTCAACAAGCGAATATCGTCTCTGCCGCGGGGCCATGAAGCTGTGCCAATGGTGACCACGACAGCACCTGGGCCATCACCAAGTGAACATGAGGCCTTGTTGGTGGAGCTCGTGCAGGCCAAGACGGCTGAGGCAGTAGCCAAGCAGGAGGCAGAGGAGGCTCGGCAGAAGCTGGAGGCTCTGCGGAAGTCTCACGGATTGGGCCGTGTCGAGTCGTCGCACGGCTCCTCGGCATCGCAATCCGGGTCCGGAGGCGTGTTCGGCCTACTTACCGGTCACGGGATGGGCCACGGAGTTGCGGCGGCAAACGAGCCCCAGGCAACCAAGCCGGCACCGACGAATTCAGGATCGCCAGCATCCGGAGGGTTCTGGGGCTGGAGGAGGTGAGCTTGATGAGTACGGCTACAGCTTGTGGGATCTAGGTCACAGCCAAACCAAGCCTCAGCCGCTTCGATGATGGGTCACGCGACATGCCTTTGATCGGTTTCCGGGGTCCGAGGATGTTTCTTTGTACATATTTGTTTGGAGGCACGAGTCCCTCTTTCTTGTTGAGCACAATGGCTGGGACGCCATGGCGGAAAACTCGGGGACTCGTGGAGTTTTGCTGGGCTGGTTCTGTTTCAGTCACACTCCACCCCTCATCATCAGTCGTTCGTTTCCTTGGTTTTCGTGGTACAGCGCCTCATGTTATCACCATTGTCGTCATCTGTCAGGGCGTTTGTCTACTTTAGCACGGGAGTTGGAGTTGAAGGCTGGTGCCGTCCTTTTTTGGCGGTGATTCTTTGTTGGAAGTTTTTTCTTAGATTCCCGCAAGATCTGCGGATAGACAAACAGTTGCACAGCATCTATAATTGAGAACCGAAAAAAGAAATGAAGAGAAGAGAAACGATTCTAGCCCCATCACTACCGTATGCGCCTCGTGGAAAACCGGAGAGGGGCTTGGGGGATCCAAGCAAGGTACGTGTTGATGACGCAGGATCGGCTCTTGGTGAAAATTAGTGGGTTGGCCAATGGGAAGACTCGAGAAGATGCAGCTTGGAAAGGGAGGTTCCGAGTGGATGGGCGTTGCCTACGTGCAGTTTTACCTATCCTGGTTTGGACTAATCATGAGGTTGTTTAGACAGTATCATACAGAGGACGAGACGCTGATTCGAATGTAGATCTATCGAGGACTATCGCGGGGGCCTAGACGAGTTGCAACCCTTGTTGCTATTGACTCTTTGCCCAGGCTGAACTGAACTCCTTATCTCTTTCAACTAAAGCTAAAGATAGTTGCCGTGTGCTACTCGCAATAACATGAGGCCTGTGCTTCGAGAAAGATCCCGGGTGTCTTGTTATTTTTTTCCGCCTAGGCTGCTCCTAGCCCCATCAGAGGAGGCCCCCCTTTTTAGCGTGATTATCACATGCATTGACAAGCTGGCTCACTTTGAAATGACCAGATCATCCATCATGTCAAGACATCATTCACCCCATTCCTGCAAGGGGGGTTTTGACTTGGGGACAGTGAGTGATCCTTGAGTAAGTGTGTCTTTTATTTTTGGGATATGTATGTCAACCTGGCCGCTGAAAAGAGCAAGCTGTCGTCTGCACCTCCCAGCGCTATCTGCCCTTGTGGGACGCACCAACTGGAATGTCGTCGTTTCAGCGCCTCGATGACGGGATTGGCCTTGGCCGGATCTGCTCGGACGTTTTGGAAAGTTGTGGTGGTGTGTGACTTGGCAGGTACATGCAGCGTGTGTGTATTCCACTAAGCACCTCGAGGTCCCTCTCGGGTCCTGCCGTTATGTTGCAATGCGTCATCCAGAGCTAATGAGAGGGAGCTCCACTGTGTGGGTGGGAGGGTTTTGTAGCAAAAAAGCAACGCCATCATGGATCCAAGCTCCATCGTCCGGAGCGCAGCGCAGCGCAGGACAGGATGGCACAAAGAAAGTAACGGAAAACGGTCTTTGATGCCCGTCCGTTGATGCCGGGCGTTGTTCAGCGTCCTGCCGTGCTGCAACGCTCCACTAAAAATCTGCTCTCAGGCCGCTGTCACAGGCTCTTGTTGTGATGTCCCTGTAATAATTTTCTCTGTCGTCGAGCGTCACTGCCGTCACTGATTTCCGTACCTGCCTTTCCAAAACTTGGTTACTTCCAATTTGTCCTGTCCCCCTCCAAGACCAAAAAATAAACCTCTGAAGCAACGTCATTCCTCCTCCATTCTTCTTCCTTCACTTCTTCCTTCTTCTCCTCCATCACCATAATAATCACCAAACCTCTTCCCCACGTCAACGACATTGCGAATAGCATTCTCCTGTTCTCAGCTGCGCTCATCAGGTACGTCTTCAGCATCCTCGTCTTCTGCTTGTTCCAGGGGGGCTCGTCTCGCTTGCTTTGCCCGTTTCTCCCACACGACACTCCCCCGACCGCCCCTTATCGGCAGACAAAAAAGCTCCAGACCAGCCAGGCCAGACCAGACCACACGCAGGCAGAGCAAGAGAGCCACAGGGAGTGCGCGCGTGCGAGCGAGACAGAGACAGCTACGTAGCTCCTCTCAACCTCCCTTGTCAAATCCTACCCTGCATCAATCAAAGCTTCCAAATTCTCGGGCCACTTTTGCTCACGCCGCCTTTCGCTTCCTGCAGAACATCTCCATCCTCTCCTGAATCACCTCCTATCCACGCAACGCGCGCCCGTCCAAAGTCTTGCTTCGCCTAGTCTAACTCGCCCCGACGGTACTGCTCAGCGAGCGCAACAGCTTCCAGACGCCCTCATCTCCTCGCCAGCTCGTCGAAATGGCTGATTCCGCCCCGGCCGTCAACGGCGGTTCTCTTCTCGAGGCCACCAAATCCAGTGAGGTGCGTCGTTGATGCGCTGTCCTCGTACGGGACATCTCGGACGCAGCTTTTTGCTAACCACGTTCCACAGTCTTTTTCTGCACTTTTTGCACCACCATAACTTGGATCGCAACAACTATTCGAGCTCCTTTCTGTAAAGCAATATGGCTGACCTTGCTACTCCAGACGCCGCCGCTGCGTACCAGTCTGTTACCAACGGTATGAGCTTCTCCTTCACCTCTCCTGATATCTGGCATGTTTTGCTAACGTAGTCTCTCACAGGCCCCGTTGCGCAGAATGTCTACGACCACACTCAGAAGGCTTCCAACGAGTTCTCCAACCTGGCTGCTGCTCGACGCACTCCCTCGACTCCCGCTGCCACTGGCCAGCCTCTCACTCACTACCACTCCTTTTTCTCTGAGCTCCTGTCTTGGAACAACCCTCGTAAGTCAAGCTCTGTCTGCTAGCCAATTTGATGTGGCTGACCAGCTTGTAAAACAGGAGCTTCCGGTATTGCCTACGCGACCACCGTCTCCCTTATTTTCGCTGCCCGATACTTGGATGTCCTCCGATGGGCTTTCAAGGTTTCGTGGATGGTCCTTGGTGTGACCATCCTCGCGGAGGTTGTTGGCAAGGTCGTACTCAACAATGGCCTGGCTACTCAGGTTCGCCCTCGTCGATACTACACCGTTCCCCGTGAGACTCTCGACCACATGATTGGAGATGCCCACGAGCTCGTCAACTTCTTTGTTATTGAGGCCCAGCGAATCATCTTTGCTGAGAATGTCTTTGCTTCTGCTGCTGTAAGTGCTTGCGCAAGAGCTACATGATGGATGCAACTGACATACCCAGGCCTTTGTCGCTGCCTTCATTTCCTACTACCTTGTCAAGCTCGTTCCCTACTGGGGCCTTGCTGTTATTGGCACCACTGTCGTTTTCTTTGTTCCTCTGATTTACACTTCCAACCAGGAGCTTATTGATGAGCAACTCCACCACGCCTCGGAGCTTATCAACTCGCAGACCGCTCAGGTCCGAGATGTTGCCTCGAAGCAGATGGAGCAGGTTTCGGCCATTGGCAAGCAGTACGCTGGCGACTACAGCGGCAAGGTCCATGACCTCCTTCGAGGCAACCATGGTTCGCGCCAGAAGATTGAGAAGCCCACCAAGGGCGCTGCTCCTGTCGTCAAGGAGCCCGAGTTCCCCTCTCCTCCCACTGAGGACCCCGTCAAGTCGGAGGCGGCTCCCCAGATCCCGACCCCTGCGGCCCTTAAGGAGGAGATCTCCGAGCCTACTGCTATCGATGCTGCAATCCCCGAGGTTCCCAGCGAGCCTGTTGTCGCCAACAAGGAGCCCATGATTGCTTCCTAAGCAACCGATACGAAGCAGTTTCGACGTGTACACGAGCTGAGAAAAGGCATAGCTGGCCTAGGCAATGAATGTGTTTTACGGCATTTCGGGGCGCATGTCTTTCCTTTAATCGAGGGCAAGGGATTGTCAGATTGGAATCGGGCGCGAATTGGTTTTTGGGAGCATCCAATCCTTGGCAAACAATGCGAGAAACGACTCTAGTTGACAGTGATGAAAGATGGCTTAAAATATGGATATGGGTTGGGCAGATGCTGGGTTTCGGAAGAAGAGCGAGGGCCTGGTAGTGGAAGGAGGCGAGGCTCTTGATTAATGTGTCGTCGATGGTTGATGTTGATGGAACGCCAGCATCTGGCTCAAGGCTTGTTTTTGTGTGTGTGCGAATGCGTGCGTCTTGTCTTTGTTTCTCGAGGATTGGTGTTTAGGATTGTATACCGTGTATTCTTGCAGAGGGCCTTGGCCTTGCGCGTAACCTTGTAGCCGAGATGCACAATTACAACTTGTATTCTTATACTGACTTTGACGTTTCTCGCAAATGATGTGGAGTTGAGTGCATACAAGAACCTTGTGATACTAGAGTAGGAAGTTGAGTTGATAGTAGAGCAAGTACTAATGCAATATATTCAAGTTTTATTCTCATAACGCCAACCCCAAGAGGTATACATCTACTTTTTCTGCCATTCCCCACGACTGTCGCCGACTGATGAGACCTATACTTACTTCCTTCGCTTGCCACCTCCTCCATCTTCGTCGCCAGCACGCTTCCGGCCATTCTTGCGCCAGAACTCCTTGGTCTCGCGCTTCTCGCGGGCCTCCTTCTTCTCCTCGTTGTCGGCCAGCTTCTTCTGGAAGGCGGCGCGGTTCTCCTCCTTCTTGGCGCGGCGCTTGGCGGCGGCGTCGTTGCGGATGGTGAGCATCTGCTGCATGAGGGCGCGGGCTTTCTTCTCCTCGGAGCCGGGGGCCATGATGACGGCACGCTTCTTCATGTAGGTGTCGCGCTTCTGCTTCTTGGTCTCGATGATTTGGGACTTGAAGGGGAGCTCAGCGGCTAGGGCTCGGGGCACGCGCAGAGGGTTGAAGTGACGGGTCTCGCGCTCGATGGATCGGTACTGGCTGTTCTTGAGCTGAGGGGTGGCGACGCCCTGGTCGCGGCGGACTTCACCCGTTAGGCGCATGGGTTGCCAGCCGATGAGGTTGGTGACGGGGTTGTAGAAGCGGTGCGGCTTGACTGGGTACCAGGCGCGCAGGAAGACGATATCGCTGAGGAGAATCTTGTCCTCAAAGGTAGCACGGAAGTGGCCCTCGGGCTTGGACAGGGCACGCTTGATCTGACCGCGGATGCCTGATACGGTCTTGATGGAGGCGCCTTCAAACTTGGCAATCTCGAGCGACGAGTTGAACATGTCCTTGATAAAGGCCGTGTTCTTGTAGATCTTGGCGGGTGTACCCGTGAGCTTGAGTTTCTTGACGATCTCGGTCGACTCGTCGACGCTGAGGATAGTACCAGTGGCTGCGATGCGGAAGCCAGCCGTGGAGCCCGAGAGGGAGTTGAAGCAGACGAAACCCGAGTTGGGGGCGATCAGGGGCCCGTAGATGGTACCGAAGCAATGCATGTGCTCGGGTGTGTACTTGAGCATGCGGTTTCGCGTCCGCGAGTCGGTGGTGCTGTAGATGGGCATGGTCTGGAAGCGTCGCCAGCCGAGCGAGAAGATCAAGGGGTCGTTTGACTTGAGGATGCGCTTGTGCCAGCGGTGTCTCTTGATGCGGACTTGTAGGAAGCCGAAGCGGTCCTCTGTCGCGGACAAACCGCCGACGACGATGGGCCGCCGGGCGTCAAACATGGAGACGAACTCTGCAGGGACGTTCTCAAGGATGATCTTGGCGTACTTGCCAGCGCGGAAACCCTCGACGGCTGTTCGCTGCCTCTCGTCGAGGTTGGAGAACTCGTCCTTGTTGATGTCGAGCTGCTTCTGGATCATGGCCTTTTGCGCCTCGTACCAATCGTCCTCGCCAAACTCTTGAATGTCTCCGCCTTCCTTACGCGCCTTGGCCTTGTCGTTGAGGAAGCCTTCTCGGTCTTCCTCCTCGAAGCGCATCTTGAGCTCTTCCTTTCGCTTGGCGTTCTTTTCTCGCTCGGCTTCAATGTCGTCGGGGGTTTCTGGCTTCTGCTCCGCCTCGTCTTGTTCTTCGGCTTCGAGATCCTCAAACACGCCGTCGCCTTCGTCGTCTGAGTCTTCTCCGCCCTCCATGTCGTCGTCGTCGTCATCATCATCGTCATCGTCTCCCGCGGCGAGGGCTGTTGATGTAAACTTGCGACGTAGGGCCTCGACATTCTTCTCCTCTGCCCACTTTGCGGCGAGGTCCTCGTAGTCGTAAAGAGGTATTGACCTGTCTTCAACAGCGTCCTCCTTTTCCTGTTTTGACTTCTTGAAGAAGTCATCATCGTCATCATCCTCGATGTTCTCCTCCTCCGACTCGTCATCGTCACCTCTCCACCGCTTCAGCGCATCCTCAGGGGTCATTGAGTCGTCGTACATGAGCCTGGCCAGATCGCCCGTGTGGTATGCGCGTCGCTTGCCGTGAAGCTTCAGGGCGTTGCCTGTTAGGTTGTCCTTCCACCGTAGTGCTGCGGCTTCTTCGTCCGAGTCGTACTCTTCGTCATCATCCACTTCCTCGGCTTCAGACATTGAGCCAAGATCTGAGTCGCTGTCGGCAAACGCAAGATCATCCTCATCAACGTTCTTATCGGCATCCTTGCGGAACATCTTGCCCAGCTTGCCTTCGTTGAACTCGACCTCGGCATCTGAGTCGTCTTCATCGTCGCCGCTGACGAAGCCCTCGTCGTCCTCATTCTCCTCATCATCTTCCTCATCACGCTCGGCGAATCGAGCCTTGCGCTGTGTTTTACGTCCTGTATCCTCCTCTTCGGGCACTGCCTCAACCTGACCACCGCCCTTGAAGAGCTGTACACCACCCTCCATCTGACCCAAGAGTTTCCGCTCAGCCTGCAGACCGACAATCATCTCCTCGCCCTCTCCTCGCTCGGCGTTTTCATCATCCTTGTCAAAGGTGAAACCCTTCTCTCGTGTGATCCAGATGGCATCGCCCTCAATCTTCAAGCCGCTACGATCCGACATGGGCGCATGCAGCTTCTTCTCCTTCTCGTCCAGCCTTCGTCGCCCAGTCTTGCCGGTAATCTTAGCAAGCGCCTGCTCCATAGCAGGAGTTGGACAGGGGTCTGGCAGAACCTCCATGTTGGAGACTGTAAAGTCACCCAAGCCAGGAACGTGTACCCGCTGTCCTTGCGACGAAAAATTTGTGCCTCGTAGATACCCAGACAAGACAATTGATCGGTCGCACTTGGGATCCTCCTCGATCTTGGTGGGATGCGTGATATCTCGGAAACTGTCGATAATGGTGTAAGGGTGCGAGTTGCGCCAGATGAGCGGACGAGGGTTCTTCATGACGGAGAGGAAACGTGACAGGTTGTGGATTTCGCGATCGGGGTATCGTCCATTCATGACACCAGAGAGATAGAAGAGATGCGCGCCCTGGTACAGCTCGGTCCACAGTCTCTTCTTGAGCCTCTTCTTGGCATCCTTGAGCGCCTGGGGCTTTCGGAACAGGTCGAGATGGGTCAGGATGCCAAACACGTTTCCAGGCATACCCGTGGCGGCGAGGATGTTGAGGAACTCCATAGTCTCCATCTCGAAGCCATAATTTCCGTCAATCATGAGAAGGACAATGTCGGCCACCTTGGCGATGTCGACCATGGCTTCAAGCTCGTTGGGGCATTCGACAAACGTCAGGCGCTGCTTCTTGGAAGTGACGACGGTAATTGGGCCCTGAGGGTCGGTTATCGTCTCCTTGGCGTATCGTCGGACAAGCGACTTGAGGAGAGTCGTCTTGCCTACGCCGGGAGGACCGACGATGGTGACGAGGCGAGGCGGGGCCTCATCGGGCAGTCGGTCGACGAGGGGAACATGGAGGCGCTTTTCCTTGATCTATTTGAAGTCGTCAGCATGTTATACTGTCAGCGTAGCTTGCGCAATGTGGTCCTACATCCTGCGATCTCGCTGCTTGTCGTTGAAGCTTGCCCGGGTTAGAGAATGCGAACGCCTTGGGATTGCGCTCTACGATCAAGTTAGCCATGCGCCTCGATCACGGATTGTGCAGTGAAAACAAACCTCCCGTGTGCGGCTTCTTCTCCTTCCTGTCCTTGGACTTGCGATGCGGCTTGTGTACTTGGTCCTCCATGGTTGCGCGTGCTTGTGCTTCACGGGCTTCCACGGTCCATCACCAGTAGCAAACCAAAAGGCCTGGTCGCTTTCAAAATTTCTATGGTCTCTTGGGAAAATTTGTCCGATAAGCAGATAAGACATTGAAATTGGCTTATCGATAGAGATGCGGGGCGTCTAGTTGATGTTGAGTTTGATTGGCTAGCAAGCGCCCCTCTCGTTTAGAGCTCGTTCAGAGCTTGTTCCATTAGCCACGACTCAGCCACATGAGGCTCAACTTCAATCTCAACTCCAAAAGTTCCCAACCGGACTCTTCCAACTTCCTGTTTAAGCATGGATCTTATCGCCTTGCAGGGCCAATTCGCCCTTCGGCGTGACGTACTCATCGTCGTTTCTCCGTGCCTTCGTCCGGTGCGAAATTACATCATGGGCCAATCCTACAGGGCGAGCGACAAGGGTTCTTGGCACCCAAGTCTTGGATGGAAACCATGAGAAGGGTATCATGACCTCCTCCTTGTTGAAGAGCTGTCAACTAGCGGATGATGTGATCTGTGAGATTTCTATTATTGGCCTTCAGTCCGAAGACTGCTTCCGAGCTGGCTTATGGCTGAGAGAGACGACAATTCTCATCATCACTCAAAAGTTCTCGAGTAATCATCCGACCTCAAGGATTTTCGAGCTAAACCCATTGTAATAACTCATCGAGACTGTATGAGTCGACAATTTTAGCATCATGAGTAACAAGCAGCTGTGACTCCCACTAAAAAACGCGCGGTCATGGTTGGCTAGAGGATCCAACGTCCCTGCATCCTATCCCCCGCATGCTCTAATGCTGCCCTCACGCACACGCACCGCTCGTCTACCTACAGTACTGAGGAGGGTCTCGTGCATATCCTGCATGTCTCGCTTACACCTCCTTGTCGTCAGCCTTGTACGTAGGCATCTGTGTATTCGTCCGCTCCGTTGTCAGTTGCTTACGATGATGTGGTTTGCCTTGTTGCCTTCGGCGTGGCCTTGATGATCAGGCTTTCGTCATGACTCACGCAATCTCTGAGAGGTGACAATGCTGCTACGCAATGCAATTCCTGCAATTGAGTTTTTCTTGTCTGTTTTGGATAGGAGTTGCAGATGTGCTAGAGTAGTGGTCGTTTACGGTCATCGGGCTTCAAGTATAAAGAGATGGGCATGAAGCATCTTGTAGACTTTACTCAATCACACACTATTCAATCCTAACTACAATCACAAACACTTACACTTTTGAACCCAATTGACTCTCAGT